AGATGTGGTATGAGTTCCAATGAGACAACTCTCCATCCAAGTCAAAATTTATAAAAGTAAATCATTATAGGTCAAAGTACGGTCTTCAACACAGAGCCTTGGCTCACACCGAACAGCAAGCTGTAAAACCATTCAAACGGGAAAACCAACGGTCTAATCACGCATTCATATTTCTAAAAACCTAAAAACATTATCATTCTCGGTAAATTTAATGGTGTTGATTTATAGGATAATTAAGTTTTAAATTTGAATTTCTAGGCTAAGTTTAATTTTCTATCGGACCTTGTTAATTTCGGTCGCACATATCGATGTCAAGATGGTCAATATTTGACCGAAATTCTGAGGGAAAGACATTTTTTAGATGGTAGTTTTTGTTCTGTTGTTGATACTTAAAAGGGCTTTTTATTATAACAGCTGATTAAACTTTTATTGTTTTTTTGTTCTTATGTAACTAAAAGTACTACAGATGACGATTTCTTGAATTTATATATTCACACAATTAAAACTCAGAGAGAGACAGGAATATGACGGTAGTTTTCCATTCGTTTGATGTGTTTGGGTCTTTGATTCTGCCATTTGATAAGGGACTTTCAGTTTTGAATTTTCCTTTGATTTTTTTGCCAATTTACTTCTTTCTTTCTTTTTTTTTTTTTTGATTAGTGTGTCGTTCATTTTTTGTTCTTTTTTTTTCTTTTGCCATTTTAAATGGCCTGGCAATAGAGCCTTTTCCATTACTTTGCGTCCGTTAACTTTATTTAGTTTTTAAAATGTGCCTGATGATGAAGTCGGGCAACTAACATGGATGCATAGGGTAAAAATGGAACATAGGGTAAAAATGGAACATAGGGTAAAAATTCATGTATTGTCGCTCACTTTGAAAACTGTAATTGATAGCGAAACAATGTCAATTTCTACGAAATTTCTGTTTTGTCTAGGATTTATTGCTCTTGAATGATGATTTTTTCCATTTTTGTTTTGTGTTTGCCTATCGTCTTTCAAATTATAAAAAATACAAATAACATTTGAAGACAGGAAAATTATCAGCAAAACTAAATTTTAATATATAGCAAACATGACCGAATTATCAGACGACTCCTAATACGGGTTATTGCCGTTAAATACTTATTCTAAACATGTTAAGGTTAGTCTACTATCTTGAAACAATGATAGATGAATGAAGAATTGTACGAAACCGGCAAGAAAGGTCTAAATGGGAATAGAAAAGGGTTAGGGTAAGGGTTAGCTAAAATAATCAGCTGAGTCAAATCTACAATACAGTCAAATGGTCGAAATCATCAGGTGGCTTTCGATAAAAGTAATGGCCGTTTATCTTTTTTTCTATTGTGTTTGATTTTTGGCTATAACTTTGGAACTAGCATATCATAGAACACAGGCTTACCTCAGAAGTAATGACAAAATCAAAAAATATGTATTGGTTGTTTACTAAGTGTTGAAAGAAAATCAACCGGAAGTGACTTTTCCAGAAGAAAATTCGTGTTGGTAGCCACGTGATAAAGGGAAGGAAGTACAAGTGAATAGCCAAAATAAATTTTAGATTCTTATTAATTGTTCCTTACAAATTCTTCAAATAAATACTTGAAAAAAATCAAAGCTGGACAAGAGCACTCTCGAGTCAATATTTCAAAACAGAATAAGCTACCCTTGTAATAAAAGTCTATATAGAATATATGACCATATATGGGTAGTCGTGTCATTGTTGTGTAGTGTACACCAACTTATTTTCGAGAATACTTTTATTCCCGTTTAGACCTTTCTTGCTGGCTTCGCGACAGTATTTAACTCGTACAATTCTTCAATTGATTTTTGTCACTGAATCCCGTTTTTTTAGGATCATGACGTTATACATTTATTCAATCAGAAGCAATTCTTTATTGCAATATCTGTCGGACGTTTGATTGATAACCAGGGACGATGATTTTGTGTGAAGGAAATTCACTTGTAGAAATACATATATACGTCGTTGAAGATGAGAATGGGAGATCGTCTATGAGCAAGGAATTTTTCAACTCAGAGATCTTTTTATAGATTTATGAAACAAAACTAGAAAAATCGCCAGCTTTAAATTTTTGTTATTAACTTTTTTGGACTGCGCAGTATCTTAAATTTTACTCAATTATTCAATTTATTGATTTTTTTTGTCATTGTTTAAATGATATATTTATTATGCGAATAATTTGGTGAAATAAACTGTAATTATAAAACCTGTAACTGTTAGTAGCCTTTTTACAATAATCGTAGTATATTACATTTTATGAGAAGAAAAAGAGGTCAGATCTTAAAATCGAAATTCCTGTAACAGTAGATAAATTTAAAAGTGATGTCATCATTCAGTATTTAATAACTGTGATTTGACATAGAGGAACTGATGCTTCTTAAATTAACGAATATGTCGGTATTTGAATTAAAAACAAAAGATTGAACAGATCGTATATTATGTGGGGTTTTTTTTGGAGGAAGAGGGGGGGGGGGGGGTTTCAGTATACATATTTTTTTATTGTTGAATAACAAGGAAAACGGGAAATATTTTGAATCATTGAATATTCTGTACCGTTTATATTCTCTTGAGGAACTAATAATGGTTCTTAAACCGTTGGCGATTCCTGTCATCCATGTTTATGTTTTATTTGCAATATACAGTACACCATCAGTTATATTCGGTATACGGAGATACTCAGCAAATCAAAAAAATGATCAAAATTCTATACGTGTTGCCTGTATAAATAATATGACCGTTAAACACATATTTTCTCAATTAATTCTGAATTTGTGATAAAGTTTAGCAAACGTTTTGACCACTTCCTTATATCTGTATCGTAGCTGTGAATTCTTTGAGCATGAACAAATATTTATTTTTATAATTTTCAGATGTTCGAGAAAACACGTCTAATCGAAATAACTTTGAAATTGCACACTCCATAAAAAGGACCCCAAAAGGAACATCACTATTCATTTAGGGAAAATTAACAATCGGAAAAAACTAACCACGTTTGAAAAAAATTGATAAGAAGAATACAATAACAATTCTTATAATAAGACCTACATTAGGGCAACAGTCACTACCAAATATATTAGATTTAGAAAGATTGTGTTCAGGTTGTTCAATTTCTTAATCATTTGTGTAAACTGGTTGTATATAGAGACTACGTCGTCTTAACATGGTCCTAATCTAAAAGCAAATAAGAAGATCATAATGCAACTTATCACTGTACTTTTAGATGGTATGAACAATATGAAGAACAAGTATTCTTTCACCTGTCAAAACACCTGAGTTTTTATCTGATTTAAGCATAACCTAACAACGTTGTTCAATTGAGAGTATATTAATTTATAGAATTTACGAAAATTACATAAAATCATAAGCCAATGCAACTGTAAAAAAGGGCAAATAAAAATATATATTTTACGGCGGTACATTACTACGGGAATGTAGATCACATTACGATTGTAAACGCAATGCCAGATTTCAAAAAAATTAAGTTTCAGCAAGGCTTCAAACGAAAGAATCTTTCTTAAAAAACTTTCTGATCAATACAAACATAGCATTTATCATTTGAGATTATTCTGCTTTAAATGCCCTTTTAATTAGAGTTTAACAAACGCCATTCATAGTTTCTGAGAAAGAAAATCCAAACTGCGGACTCTCTCATGATCATTACAGTGTTCTGAATTAAACGCCTCTATTCCATCTAGATATAGCTGCAAAAATATACATATGTCTTACTGCCCCTTAGTCAAGGTAACCATATCTCTGTACCTTAGTCGATCTTGGGGTATATACTGTTTTCACCTCTAGTAATTGAGAAGAAGTGTCCTGTTTGGTGACGTCCTTCATCAGCTATTTTAGACCTTAAAGTTTATCATCTCTCTCACTCTCTCAAAATTCGACTTTTTACATCCGTTTTAATCTCGACAGTTATTTTACTAAATGATTTGTATTATCTAGCTAATCTGATTTTGTCATATATTTAATTATCTCTGTTGGCCTTTTTGACTTTTCTAATTCGAGTGTCACTGATGAGTCTTTTTTAGACGAAACGCACGTCTGGCGTACAAAGTTTCAATACTGGTATCTATGATGAGTTTTTTTTTCCACTCTTTTTTATTTAGAGCTTGACATATGATATTCGTATAGACACATGTCTATTGTTGACGTTTAGAAGGTGTTTTAATGTTTTGTGTTGTTGGATTGCAGTCCCAATAGCGAATACCCAACATCTTCTTTTATTCATATCGTGGATTCATTTACTTTCGTGGGTACCAATTTTCGTGGATTGAGGAAAACTAGCATTTTCGTGGATATTTAGTTTCGTTGTTTTGGCAAAGTCAGCATACATTCCTTTGGAAAACTCGTAATTCGTTGAACATTTAAATTCATGGTTCCCCTGTACCAACAAAATCTTCGAAAATTGGCATCCAACGAATATTAATGAATCCACAGTATTTAATATCCATTACCTGATAACAGATTACATATGTGCCACGTGACTGTGTAGTTCGTTACTAGTAATAATGATAGTCACTAGTATAGTTTAGGGTCTGTATGTGGTTAACACTATAGAGAAAAATGGCCAAAAAGACGAGAATAGAGAATGAAAGGGTCCTAGAATATAAAGGATCAAGGTAAATTGGTCTATAATTTAATAATACAGTAAAAATCCTCCCTATGCAACCCTCATGGATGACATAGTTTTCATTCTGTAGCTGATGATTGACACGCGTTATATAAACTCTAGTTTGCATGGTTCAATATGATTTTAAACAACATTATATTGTTCAATCATATCGTGAGATCGAATCATCAAGAACACATTATACATTGATCTTTTATCAGATAATGACCTTTTAATGTTATTTTAAAAGAGGCGTTACATCCTCATGTTCACAGGTCAAAAGATGTGCGGTAACCTTATATAAGGTATTGATATAATAAACATAGAATGAAGTTATGAACACGATGCATATAAGAAATAACATTGATGTTTAAATACTATAAAGTGGACTGATTTTTATTTCGTTTTTTATTACTAGTAGATTTCATTTATAATAACAATTATTATCAAGCTAATTGATATTCATAGGTATCATTAACGCAACATTTCACTTATCAATCACAAGTGTAATGCTAGAATAATGATGTGAAATGTGAGGAAATACTAAAATATTGATTGAACTAATCTACTTGGTTAAAAAATGTAATGTTACTCTATTATGATCGGTGTTAATCAAGTGATTGTTTCTGTAAAAAGAAAGCGAACGATACCAAAGTGACGTTCATCTCATAAGTCTAAAATAAGCTGACAACGCCATGGCTAAAAAACAAAAAGACCAACAGACAAACAACAGTACACAAAACAGAACATAGAAAACTAAAGACTGAACAACACGAACTCCGCCGAAACTGGGGTGATCTCAGGTGGTCCGGAATGGTAATCAGATCCTGCTATACATGTTGCACCCGTCGTGTTGCTTATGTTAGTACAAACCCGGTAATAAATTTAATTTTGTAGGTCACATTCGGAGAAAAGGGGACTGGATTATAATAACGACAATTGAAACATATCCGCTATCATCTGTGAAACGGTTATTCCATAACGGTCAACCAACTAGAAATAGCGTCCGTAAAATTTACGAAGGGATGATTTCAACTTCACCACTTGGAACTCTTGGTTTAATAGCTTCGTTGTGTGCAGCAACCCTCTATCAAGGAAATCATGATAGGAAATACAAGTCCTGGAATATCGTTTCAACTGGGAGATATATACTCCGTATGCAGGCGATGTTGCTACATAGAATTGGAAAGTTCACAATTGGAAAGCTGAAATAATCTCTTTTGTCGTAAAGTTCGATGGGATAGATGAGTTCAACATAGTCACCAAATTTTGAATTATTTAATGAGAGAACATCATCTATATAGCGGAAAGTAAAGTTAAAAGATAATGATAACTTCTTTTCCTTATTCCTAAGAAGTTCCTGTGTGAAGTCAACCTCATATGAACAAAGAAAAAAATTGGCAAAAAGAGGGGCACAGTTGGTTCCCATGGGAATGCCGATTGTTTGTTGAAAAACACGTTTTCAAAACGTCACAAATATGCTGTCAATTAAGAAATCAAACATATTGATATGTCAGTTTCAGATATTTTTTGTTTGAATCAGAGTGATTTTTAACAAAGTAGGATTTATCCCTCCCTAAGACAAGATACTTGTATTTACGTTGGCCATTCATTTTAATGAAACAAAGTAATACCAACTCTTTCGATTTGTTTTTTAGTTTGGAAGGGGAATACTTGTGTAAAGTGTAAAAGTCAAATGTTTTAATACTATTGCAAGATGAGAGAGTCTTAGATTGTATGTACTCTAAAAGATCTTCAGAATTTTTTAGTATCCACATCTGATTCACGCCACCTCTAGAATAGGAAGTTTCACAATAACTTTGATGTCGGCTTTGATTGCTGATACAATACCCTTCCCTTTTCACGAATATGACCTACCGAATTAGACTATTTACCGGATTTGTAAAAACATAAACAACACGACGGGTGCCACATGTGGAGCAGGATTTCCTAACTTTCCGGAGCACCTGAAATCAGTTTTTGATGGGGTTCTTTTGTTTAGTCTTTAGATTTCTATGTTGTGTCATCTGTAATATTATTTGTCTGTTTGTCTTTTATTTGTGGCCATGGCGTTGTCAGTTTGTTTTCGATCAATGAGTTTGACTGTCCCTCTGGTATCTTTCGTCACTCTTTTACACTGTATAAATTTGATGTGTATCTGGATTTTTCGTAATCTGAACGCTCAAACCTAGACATATGAAATACAAGGATTTTTTTGAATGATTTATATGACAGAAAGTGACCTCAAGGTCTTCCGAACGTATTATTTACTTTACTTCTGTACTTTTGACAGTTCTCCTTGCTCTTTATAGAATTGGCGAATACTTTCAGCTAATCCTAGTTCCTCGGCACTTTCAAGTGCGGATGTTAACTTGTCAATTTTGTTGCTCTTCAGTTGATCGAGTGCTGTTTTTAGCAATGTGAAAGCCTGTCTATTGCTGGATGGAAACTTTTCACAAATTTGGTCATATTGAACCTGTTTCATCTCCAGATTAATGACAGTTTCAAACAGTTTGTCTGCATTAAGCAATTTTGCTATGGCCATCACACCTTTTTCTGTCAAGAAATCTGAAAAATACAAATAATTGTTACTGTATAAAGGAGGGCTTACGTAAAAAAGTATCAAAACGTAAAGACGAGTTTTCTATGTTGTGTCATCTGTACTTTTATTTGTCTGTTTGTCTTTTTATTTTTGACCATGGCGTTGTCAGTTTGTTTTCGATCTATGAGTTTGACTGTCCCTCTGGTATCTTTCGTCCCTCTTTTACACAAAATTGATCAAATCATATCAAACAAACAAAAAAACAAATAACTAAGGGATTCACATCAAATAATAAATAAGTAGACGTAGCATTCTGCCAAACTCCCGCAAAAGTTATGTATATAAAAAAAACTTTATGCTCACTAATTCACTTAATATAATAGAAAAAAAAATAATCAAAGATACAAGGCCTATACTTTGAAACGCCAGACGCGAAAAAAATCAAACATTTAGTTCAAGAGCATTGCAAGACAAATATTCAAAAAGTTAAGCAAATACGGTTAAACCATCTATGCTTAACTCAAAACACAATGTCAACACAACATCCTGACTACTGGGTTGGTGGTAACGAAGCGTCTTCCAGAAATAGAAGTAGTAAAAACACATCGAAAATATCTGGCTTATAATTTGTTTTGTTACTCAAGAAAATGGTTTCGTCTAGATACGACTCCAGGTCGTTAAAGAGCATTAAAAGCCAAAACGTTTTATGAGATGTACCAAAACAGTTTCTTTATTTAAGCGTTTGATTCCCTTGCATAGGTCAGCTATAGTTCTTGGATAGACTATTTCTAAAATTCCTAAGATCTATTGCAAAATCTTTAATTGATTCTTCTCAATTTTGTGGTAATATTAAAAGATTCGATTTTTCTACGTTTCTATTCTCCATGTTCAATTGAAAGATCAAAAACGTCGTCTTATTAAACAGAGATTTTTCTACAAAAATGGGAATCGTAGATCCAAATGTCTTATTTAAGGTCATGAATAGTTGCTCTATGTATACTGCACTGAATCTTAATACAAATACACCAAAAATGATATCCTGAAAATGTTGGAATGTTTTGTCGAAAACTTATTTTTTTTTTAACTTTTCAATGGAATACTTATTCCAATGGGTACTTATTGTGCCCTCCTACTCGCTAACTTGTTTTGTACTCATATGAAGTATAATTCATACAAAAACATGTCCTAGACAAAGAGAAAAAAGTCTACTAAGCTCATAAAGTTCACTTTAAGACATATTGATGATATCCTGCGACTCAATAACCTAGAGTGAGTGCTTTCATCTCATATATCCAAATGTACATGACATTAAGGATACTACCGACACTAGAATGTGAGCTTCATATCTCGATATTTTTAAAAGGGGTAGGCTCCGTACATGAAAATTGTTCCAACAGAGTAAATACGATTGAAATTGACACTATATAAGTTCTATGGCCATCATCTTGAATCAGCCGACCGATATGCATGTCTTAACTCACTAGCTATATGTTTTCATAGTTTGAGATCTTGAGATGCCATTTTAGTCTTACAATCTATATTACTGATTGAATCTTATTCCCGATTTTGACAAATTGATTAAGTGGATTCGCATAGCATTCATAATAGTAGACGCTTATCCTCTCGACGCATTCAGACTTTAACATTTACATAGTATAAACTTTACATGTTCAAATGCATATCAAAAACAGTTTTGCACACTGGTATTATTATAGCCATTATAACAAAACAAACGCGATGTGGTATAAAAGCCAACGGAATTACTGTTCATTTCCAAAGGAAAAGGTTGTGACCATTTAAAAATCTTTTCAATAATGAGCATACCGCAAATATGGTTAAGCTAGTTATGCAAGGCCCAACAAGAAACAATGGCCTTATTTAAACTTCAACAATAAAAAAAACAAGAATGTGTCCATAGTACACGGATGCCCTACTCGCGCTATCATTTTCTATGTTAGATGGACCGTGAAATTGGGGTCAAAACTCTGAATTTGGCATTAAAAATTAGAAAGATCATATCATAGGGAACATGTGTACTAAGTTTCAAGTTGATTGCACTTCAACTTCAGCAAAAACTACCTTGACCAATAACTTTAACCTGAAGCGGGACAGACGGACGGACGGACGGACGAACGGACGAACGCCAACAATGAGTAGTATGTAGAGGAGATGTGCGTCTGTTATGTTTATTTATAAGGAGGTTGGGCAAAATTGGAATCATATACATGTATCTTTATGTTTTGTTTTCCATACCATCTTCACTGAATTGACGAACTGCCAAAGTCGGTTGTCTGTCAATGAAACTTTTTCCTTTGGCGGACGTCCTTTGATCAGACCGTTGTGTTCTTTGTCGGGCAGTATTTTTTCTTAAAGATGAAGCGTTTTCGTATTCCTTGTTGGTTAGTGTATTATAAATTATTTCATCCACAAACTCCTGATCCTTGGTCAGTAACATAATGCCGTATACATCTTGATCCATTTTTGGTTTAATTTCAACTACGAATCTTGTAAAATTTTCCGTTGAGTTTGGCAAAAAGGTCATGTCTAATCTTTTCCTTGAAGAGAAACGTGGCATCTTGAAACATCCTTTCAGAGTGATGGCAATTTTGATTTGTGGTTTGAAGACTAAATCTTTGCTTATCCAGTTCTTGAAAAGTTGGAAGCCTTTTTCTTCGCAGCTTTGGCAAAACGCTTTCATCTTTGATTTTTCAATACAGGCGAGCAAGACTGTAAGCCCACGTGACGTCACATCACTTACAAAAAATAGGATTTTACAAATGGATTGATGACCATGCATTTCCTCAATGTTTCCAGATATTTCTAGCGGACCTTTTTTCAGTTCATCCTTTCCTATGAGAGAAACGCTTGTTCTAAAAAAAAAAGAATATAAACCTAGTTATACATTCTAGTCTTGATGTTAATTAATTAGTTCAATAATTTGCCTCAGTCTAAATTATAAAGATGGTAGCGTCATACAATGGTATTTAAAAGACAGCATACACAGATGTTGTAACTTTGCTATTTGTACCAACCCTCTCTGGCTGGGTTGACCTTAGGAATTAGCTATTTTAGTAAGGTAGTTTGGACACGTTTTGTTATTTTGTTTTCTAACCTTTTGCAACCTGGTTAAAAAGGAGGCGAAAGATATCAAAGGGATATTCAAACTCATAAGATTAAGGCTGTTTCAGAAATGCGTGATCGGAACAATAAACCATATCACACTTTTTACCACTAAGTGGGTACTGATGCTGGTAAAGTTGCATGATCTAAATGAAAAATTATTCGTCTGTAATTTCTAGCGCATACAATGGTGTCTTCGGAAATCATTACATTTCTCTATTGATAAGTCTTCTAACTTATAGATTACTATGCATGTGTTTCTGTCATCGGAAAGGCAATCATTCCTTATCCATGTTATCTAGTTTGGTCATGTCATAGTTTTTACATCTTTTTTCTATTGTGCTCTGCAAAATATTTATTAACACTTGAATATCAAATATATACAGATAGATTTTCAATTAACAGTGATATTCTGAAAATAAATGAAGCTTAAACTTTACGTGACGATTGTCATGTTGTTTCTTGAAGTGTAGAAGTGAACACATCAAGTTTAACGCGATAGTAGATGTAGGAGTCGTAAGGGGACCTGGGTAGTTGAATGCGTTAACAAAAAATCTGTGTTCAGTGATATTGGACATATTTCAATTTTTAACAAGTGACTGAGCATAGCCATTTGTGATGATTTTAGGAGCAGCGGACCATAGAATTAAGGTGTAAAACTATGAACCTATTAAATGTATGCAAAGAACTCAATTTTCAATGAATTTATTGTGCAAAAAGGGGATTTTTTACCTCGAGAAGCCGTATCACAAAGGGCTTTTCGGCATATGCTAAATTACGGAAAAACGAATCTCAATCGTACCCCGAAAATTCATCCACATATGTAAAATTGTCTCAGCTTCAAAACAAGTCATCATACATACCCAAGTTTACGATATAAGCAGAGGAACTGAGAAAAAGACTACCATTACCGCCCACATGAAATGAATTGTGCATCTTTACCCAATTTGTGAATCTTATTTAAAAAGTTGTCAGACTAATTTATGGATGATTACATATTCTACACCGGAGCAAATTGAAAGTTAGTTGTCTTTTATCAATACCTAGTTATCACTTGTTCTAGATTAACATCATTTATAAAGATCAGCAACTGTTTTTGTGTTTTTGAAATATATTACTGGCATGGAACTGGGGCAGTTCTCATAGACACAATAAAAATCTTTGTTTACATGAGATGTTGAAAAGGCACATGGTATTGAGTCTAACTAGCCTTATTTCTTATGGAAACATTTAATATTGTTAAATTGTAAATCAACATTACACACAACAGACATATCCGTGCCATTATCATTTCAAAGTACAGAAATAGCTGATAATGCAAGGGAAATAACACACTTCGTACGAGTGTTTAATACATGTGTTCTACACCAATAATTAGACTGTCTAATGTCAACTGGTCATTACAACAATCAAATAAGCATACAAATATTTAGAAAAAAAAGTTACTAAACTTTACCATTACTGTTGATTTGGTGAGCAGAGGACCATTGAATAAAGGTGTAAAACTATAGAGCAGTTACTAGTAAGTTTATGCGAAGAACTAAAATTTCCAAGAACTTATTGTGTATCTTGAGAAGCCGCATCTACCTTTGAAAATTAAAACCGTTAGGTCTGAGGGTATCAATAGCTCAATAGCGCGAACCTCATGTAATATCATGCAATACGGACATTTGCTTTTTTTAAATTTGCTGATATAGATTTTACATTAAGAATATACAAATATATCTCCTTAATGCATACCTCTGATTTCTTGTGAGAATTTTGCTACTCCTTTTTGTGTTATTCGATGATACCAGCTAATCAAAGTTTGTATTAGGTTTTAGATTTTGAAAAACTGCGGCCTGAAACATCACTTACCAACATATATTGATGAAATGCGAATCTGCTGTATCGTTACTGTTATTATTGAAAAAATTAATTATGCTAGCCCTTACCCAGAAATCTTGTCCGTCTCAAAAACTGCTGTATGATTTTCATCGACAGTGACCACGTTGTCTGTTAATGTAAATTGTCCATTCGTATTTTGCCTGAAAAGTCTGTATACATAATCTTCATCTGACTCATTGGGATTTCTAATATCGTTTAGTGGCAGTTTGACTTGAACCTTCTTTTTCAGGGTTTTATCTCCAGAGGTGTACAAACAATCAGAAATTGCCAGAATTGCTTCCCCAATTTTACTCCGTTTTTCGTACTGTCTTCGCAAAATTTCTTTATTTACAGGAATAACCTAACAAAAATGTTTTTGAATGATAAGAAAAATTATGAGTCACTTTCGTTTTATTGCTAATTATTTTTTATTGGATAAACTTTCTGTGTACCAACCCTTATATTTAATATTTTTTCGTCTGCTATATAAAATCTTGCATTCATAATTATGAATACAAGGTTTCTAACCTTTACTAAAATAAAGTAAATAATTCTCACAAAAAAAATGGAATTTAACATTTAAATTGTATACCCCTGTTATACATTGATGCAACAGAAAAATCCATCAATTTAAGAACCTTTTTTCTTATTCTGCAAAGAATTAATTTGCCAACCATGATTGTAGCAGACAGATTTGTAAGGAGTAAGTTGATAGATATCTTTAACATGTTTTATTTACCGTACTTACATATGTGTATTTTTGGTCGTCTTTTTATTTATTTATTTTTTATTAATCTGGTGATAATTAACGAAGAATTATTGCTTAAATTTCATCACTCAGTTAATTCGATATAAGGCATATTCAAAATATGTAAACGTACATGTAAAGTAACGGTTTCCTCACTCTCAACTGCACCAGGAGGGAAGATTACTTCAATTCGTTTGTCAGTTAGCGCAACATATTTGCAACCTTTTGGTAAGATGTTTAAACGTTCTTTTAATGGTTTTGATACAATACAGAGTGCATCTAGTTTGACAGTTTGAAACGTCACTGATTTCTCCTAAAAAAAACAATTAAAACAAATCAGATACAAGAAAATCATGTAAACCTGTGTTTCCGAATGGTGTGCTTTCTAATTTAGCATTTGACACCCATTGTCTGCACAAGCATTATCTAAAAATAAAAAACCGTATTGGCGACCATAATGCGTAAAAATCTTCAAACTCTTATATAAACAATGAAAAAAACATCAATTAACGGAAAACATTTCAACGTTGATATAGTAATCGAAGTCATCATTGGATATATTTACTTATTTTAAATTTACAGGGAGCATTAATTATTTCAAATAAGTTTTAACTTAGGGAATCAAAAACTTCATTTATTGTCCAAATGTGAATCTGGTGCAGGAAAATTGGTACCGTTAATTTGTTCAGCAAAATATTAAACGATACTCGTCATTTGTTTCCGCGTCTTGATTATGACTTCCATATCAAATCCTCATTCAATACGCATGTTAAAACCTTTTTCCTATAATTTCTTATTTAAAACACAATGTTATTGTCTAGACCGAGTTTCATGCGGAGTCGTGTATCAATTGTAAAGTTAAATTCATTTTTTTTTTGTATTAGCGCGATATTTGTTTCCCTTAAATTGCAAGTCGATTAGATGAGATGTAACAGAAAATCGAAAAAATAATTCTTTAAAATGTTATACTTACTAAATTATGATTAAATGAAAATTCCTTTAAAGTTCAACATTTGTATATAATGTACGTAAAATATTTCAAAACCTTTGTCAAAATTTCCGTAAAAAAAACTATATGTCATTGCGCATGGAATTTCTGTTAAAATGATGTAAAATATAAATAGGATCACCGGCTTCGTATTTTCAGTATACATCAGTCAAAGTGGTGTAAAAAAGCACACTCAAAAATTCAAAATTAGCGTAACATCGTCGAGTTGGAAAGCCGCAAAATGCCGTGTTTATCATTTTTCATTACAAAGTAGGTAACAAATTGGTTCAAACCTGAAATACGAAGTCGGTGATTCTACCCTCGTATATCAATCAAATGGAAATGTACGTATCATCACTATATCAATGTTAAAGCAAATTCTATGTGTTGGTTTTGGAGATTTAATGATTTTAAGAACGTTTTTCGAAGATTTGCTGTGTTTTCGAAACAAAAGTACAACTATTTTGAAAGAATTCATACAATAATGTTTTTGAAAGTAAAACAGATACATGCATTACTTGTTCTAGTTAACTTTAAGTCTAGCATAACGCAGACGAATACAAGATTTGACAAAAACCTGTAAAAGAGAGGCGAAAGATACCGAGAGGACATTCAAACTCATAAGTCAAAAATAAACTGAAACAGCTATGACATAAAAGAAAAGGACATAACGACTAACAACAGTATACAAAACACAACATAGAAAACTAAATACTGAGCAACACGAACCCCACCAAAAACCAGGAGTGTTCTCGTTTGTTCCAGAAGGGTAAGCAGATCCTGCTCCACATGTGGCACCCGTTTTTTTGCTCATGTAAGAACAAACCCGGCGATTTGACTAATTTGGTAGGTCACAATCAGGGGAAATGCGACGGGATTGTGGTGACGACAATTGGAACATATCCTTCATCATCTGTGAAACAGATATTTTATAATGGTTAACAAACTTGTAATGGCGTCCGTAAAAATTTCCTAGGGAGGATTTCAACTTCAGCACTGTTGATTTAATAGCTCCCTGGTGAGCAGCAACCATCTATCAAGAAAATCATGATAGGAAATGCAAGCCTACGAATATCGTATCAACTGAGAGATTTATACTCCATATGCAGGCGCTAGCTGGAATGTTGTTACATAGAAATGGAAAGTTCACAATTGGGATGATCTTGGTTTAACTTGACCTTAATTGAATGTCATTAGTATGCAGCTTCAAATCCATTAAAGAAGAAGTATTTGATTAATTTCTTTCATGAAGTACTACACTATACCTTTAACGTAGCGTCGACAAAATTCCACTTGGGTCCAAATTTAATGTAGGCCTTTAACTGTAAAAACTGATAATTAATATCATTTGGAAGCTTTACTCTTACAGTTATCATTCCAGAACTATTTTTCGGAAAATTGCCATTATCCCTGGGATCTTTTGGCTCGATATGAAAAAAATCTGTTTCAAACTTGTAGTTCTGTAACGCTGCATCTGGTTTGTAAGAACGTTGAAAATCGTCTGATGTCCACCGAATTGCTTGAATTATGTTGGAGACGTCTGATGTTGAGTAAAGTTGTATTCCGCAACCAATATCGTAGAAAGCTCTAAAATGAAATGAAATACAGTGTCATATGTCGCAATCCAAATTGTGAAGGTATAAATATGTGTGTGAGTTATATATCATATTGTATGTATCAAGTATTTGACTAAATATAATATATACATTATATTCTGTAGAACATGATACATCTGAACAAACCGCATAAAAACACGTATAAAATTATTTTTTTCATTCAATTTTTGGTTTTGTCACTTTATAAAACCGACATGCAGGAATAACACCATTTTCTTTTCTTTTATTAGTCTTTCTTAAATTGGCACTTTTCAAAAAATTGTGCAGACTTTATTTTTGTTTAAATACAGAAATACTTGGCATGAGTGAAGTTTTATTCTGTCCAGTACACCAGACAAAATTTCACATAACATTTCATTGCATATAAGATAATAACCATCACTGGAAGCTAACCAATCAAATTTTCACCTCTTGTTTTCCTGTTTACAAGCTTTAGTAACCATATAACCTAGAGTTTCCAAAATATTATATATTAACACCAAATAAAACAAGAATATTTCTTTGAAATACACAAGATATATGTTTATGATTCAGATTTTTTTACTGCAATGAATTGTGTGATTAATTTCCTACACCTGCAAAGTGAAGTCGGATTATTAGCATACTATTGTACAAGGTAACATTTCAAATGAAACAGACCCTCATAACAAGAATATGTTGTATAAGGCAGAAATTTTATCTCATAACTAGTGACGCCTCCTAAAAGTTGAATGCGTTCTATAATGTCTTGAAAACGTTGTGCTCCCTTGTCATAAAGGGAATAAAATTGTCTTTCCAAATGCATCCGTTTAAAATGACAGACGTCCATGTGGTAAAGGTTATTTTATTTGAAGCAAGAGGTGTTGATAATACATATTAGTAGCTGTATATATGTTTCCATGTTCCCTGGTGGTTTTATTGTTTTAAATTTAGTCATCGAAACATGTGATGATGTTAATAAAAGAAAAGTTCATACAAACCCCGGAATCTCTCTACATATTTCATCTATCTTCTGCTTGGCAATATCTGTTGACCTTTGTTTAAAAATAAGATGATTTATTCATAATTTTTAATAAATAAATACCAAACCTTGTAAGCATTCTGTTTACAAATACATATATGTTGTCGGATGCTCAAGGTTTTGTCCAAAATGTATCCATCGTTGCCAATTAATGTCTACATGTCTGACTTAAATATTTAAACAGTCTCACATGTTATATATAAGTAAGGACTTTTCCGAAATATTCAGAATGAACATTTTGGTGTTATCATTTTTATTACTTACTGTATTTATACTGAACCTGAGAACCAATGCATTGAACAATGCAAAATCAAAGTTATATATATATGTACCACGCATTTACGAATTTACGTATTTAATGCATGAAAAGCGTAACCGTAGTATAATTCCTATGTAAAATAAGGAAAATTCTTAAAAAAGCAAGATTCAAAATAGAAATTAAGTTACAAGGAGAGATTTCAGGATTTTTTTGTATGTAGGGAATCACCATGCAGGTTAAATGTTGAGGTAAAATAACATTTATCTCACATGTTTTCTGGAGTTTTCAATCAAATTCTGTCCATTCTTCCCATCTCGTAAATAGTAAAATTTTAACAATTTGTCATTAGATTTACACAGTATATTTGTAAATTTCCGCCAACGGGAGTTATCAAAGACACGATAGTTTCATACCAAAGACGGAAAAAGACTTGATTATCCATAAATTACATATAAATTAGATTTTTTCAATCTACAACTAAGGACAGTAATTTAATAGAAAAGGCCGAATTCGCGTGGTGAAAATCCTCTTAATAAAGTATCTAGGACTTAGCCAAATAAAAAAAAAACGAAAAGCCAAACAATAATAAATTATATCATAGGCAACAAAAATAGGACAACAAGAACCCTACTTAAACATGATTTTTGGTGCTCCGACATGGACGCAGTTCCTGCTCCGCTTGTCACATCAGGAGGTGTACAGTTTTATATCTTATATTTGTCAATATTGGTTTCAAAATTTACATTGACATATATATATCCTAGTTGTAAACAGGAAATAAAGATTGTTTTTGTGTGATTATAAATCATCAATATGTAGAAATAGAGGGAATAAACAAGTTTCCGAACTAATAGGGAGCTTTACAAAATAGTAATGTCGAATATTACTATAAAGCATGTCAGTTGACATATTCAAACATACTCGATAATGTCTGGTCTTCTTTCTTTCCCCATCTGCTGCATTAATGTTTGTGCTGTATCTGTTGACCTAAAAAGAGATTTACAACTTGGACGATAAGTACTATAAACTATGGATACTTTCTTTTTTACATTCAAATCTCGTAAATATAGATTACATATGGCATGCAGGAGGGTGTTTTCACATTTGTTATCACGCATTCATAAATAGATGTTTAATTAAATTGGTCAATTCAATCTGACACGATGTTGACAGACAAATGTGGGAATTTATAAAAATTCATCACAGAACGCAACAACACTCATCAGACACATAAGTATTCTTATAAAAGGAGCAAAATTTAAATGGCTTATGCCTCAAAATCAAGGACACACACCTTCATTTTTCTGCATTTTAAGTTCCGTTATTTGTATACTATCAGTTTATAATAGTCTATTAAAAAGCTTGTTATTTTTGAAACAGAGCATAGCGACTGCAAATTAAAAGTCTAAATTTTAAAAGTATAATGTATCGATATTATTCTCAGTGTTGAGCTTTCATTTTTGAAGAGGCTTTACTGATCATTTATTCCTTTGTCTTGTTCACAGGTTATGAAGTGTTATACAATTTATCATAACCATTAAAACCGGTTAATACATACCTTAAGATGTCGGAACTGTTTTCACTGTCTAGTGCTTCTCTGTCTGTGTCTGGATCTCTAAGTATGTTAGATATAATAGGGAAATCACAACAAAAAGATAAACCAAAATAAGTAGTTTTAAATTTACATGTGATATTAGTGTAGAAAGAATTTCAGACACTTCAGAAGCAATATTTTGTTTGGGAGGGAAAAGGAGTCCAGTGGCGGGCTTTCTTACGTAGAGTTTATTAGACTGTCGTTTGTCTTTTAGTCTTTTTCCCTTGGTTATTTTGTTGTGGTTTGTTTCTACCTTCTTTTTTTATTTATCCGTGGTATTCTCTCCTTTTGTTTAGCGCGAGTTAATGCAACTGTAGTTTACATATTTTACAGGTTTCACTAGAGGAGAAGGAATTTCTCACCGTTCAAGAGCACTCGTTTTTTGGGAAGGAAGAGTGGTCCAATTTGCAAGTTATTCTAGTAGTGTTCTGTAGACCGTCGTTTGCCCTTTTGTCTATTATATTGTCTGTTTTCTTCGTTTTATTTCCTTTTTTGTACCCTCTCCCTGTTTTAACCTGAATTAAGGCAGCAGTAGGTTATCAATATTCCAATTCCATATATCGATTAAGAAGATACAAATCAAGGTAAGAAACAAAAAATGAAGTAATAGCATGAAACCAAAAGGGAGCGAGACCGAGTGTGCTATAGGGTAAGGGTCTCTTCCTATGCATGCATCACCCGCCATGCGAATCCACAAACAGTCAAAATGTCTCAATGTGGAATAGGACACAATCGGTAAAATAAGACGACTGTTCTGATAACAAAAGATCTAAGGCAGTTAAACATGTCGCTAGTGAGTTGAGATCAGACACATCGTATTGGTCGTGATGGTGACCATAAAACTTAACTCTATTGAAGCAGATTTTATGTGAGGAGCGAACTCCTGTTCAAACAGTCTGTATAGTCAAAACGTATCAAGAGTATAACTAGCAAAATTTAACTTTGACAAGCTCTATTTAAGTAAGAATATTATTTGATTCTTAAAATTAATGTTTCCCATTCTAGCATCATTTTCTCAGCCGCGTAGACAATGTGTCACATTTAAACAACACTTCCGTAACTCCCGCATCTCAATATTTTCATTTGTGTGAATATGAAGAAATCAATCAATCCTTTCATTATAACACCATAAGCCACAGAAAATTACTTTCAAATGCCAAGTTATAATAGTAGGGATTTTCTGAAAAACGTACGTGTCTTCAGACTTTTTTCTTTTTTGTAGTATTGTATTCAGGGTTTCTGTCAATCTGCTTACCATCATCTTGAAATCAAAGTCTGATTTAGCGTTTCTGGAGATGACAAAACAAAATAATATATATAAGGGATTATATATAATGATAATATATTATCAATTTATAAATCCTTATTCCAGAGCACCTGATATCTTCCCCGGATTGCTAAGTCTTTAGTTTTCTCTGTTGTTCTTTGTATACTGTTGGTTGTCTTTTGATCGTTTTTCGTTGTTTGCCATAGCATTTACAGTTTGTTTTCTACTTATGAGTTTGAATATCCATTTGGTATCTTTAGCCTCTCTTTTAGACTTGAATTACAGTTTAAGCTCAATTTAACAGCAGTTGCCAAAGGAAAAAATATATTCGAAAAATATTGAGACAAATGTTACTTTTTCGTAAAACGTATTTTCAAATATCTGTTTACCCAACTCTGCTACGCGTCGCTAGTTTACTAAATTTGCGACAGTAAAATCTACGTTTTACGAAGGCTTTGATTAAAATTCAATACAGTTATCTCCTAAATATATGGTCAGATCATATGTTCTCGTACGTCATATGAATTCGTACTATCCATGCTTTGTCAATGGAAATTGTGACGTCACAATGCATTCTTAATAGCACGAAAACCCATTAGACGAGGATATATTTCTAAAGTTTAAAATTTGACAATCAGTCCAACATTTCAACAAGGTACAGTTTTTTTGTTGTTATTACTCATCAATGGTACCGTGCTTATAACTTAGTATGTCAGACGCTCGCTTAGTCTACATAAAACTTATCAGTGGCGCTTAAATCAAAACATTTGGAAAGCCAAATCAAATGCGAAGTTGAGGTGCATTAAAAACCGAACATTTTGAAAAGTTGTGCCAAATACGGCAGTGGTAATATATGTCTTGTGTCAAAAAAGCCCTAGAGTTTCGCTAAATACAGCATTTCAGATACCGTAACTTTACAAACGAAATGAGCATCAATGATATTTCATGTCAACATGACCATATAGTCCCTATTTTTTTCTTGATTTAACTTCACCATCAAAGCTCAAATATAAATCTTTAAAAGCTAAATATGTTGACTCCTTGGTGTGGTGTGCTTTATGACCACACTAGACAAACAAACAAATCCATCTAGGATAATTTAGATCAATGACGTCATCATGATAGAAAAGATTGCATAATTGATATCATGCATTAACTCGGAAAAAATGATTATTTGTAATAATGTAAAAATTCTGAAAAATGAAGTTTGCGTGAAGTATTTGCATAGATATGATATGATTGTCAATGAGACAACTAACCACCAACGACCAAAGCACAATAGTGTAAACAACTACTGACCTGTTTTCCGATAGAAATCTTAGATTCTGCTTCAATCTCTGAATAATTCCCAAAGTTTCCTTGTCATACTCAATGACATCCCTGAAGATAAATAAGTTGTAACATCTGAATATCTTGAGATTTTCGGTTTGATTCATTATTTGAATTTAAATGCTTTTAGAGTGGATCAAATGTTTTTTCAATATATATGTATTAAACAAAGCTTTTCCCCCTTAATTAATTAATAATCACCAAATTAAAACCTTATGATTAACGAATAAAACATTTTCCTAAGATATTGGCCTTGTGCAGTAAAATTGATATCGTTTAACGTTTTTTATCGTATAGTAAGTTAACTCCTTATAGATACCAGGATTGATTTTTTGTACAAAAGACTCATCACCGAATAAAAAAAAGCTAAAAAAAATCAAATAATAAAGACGTCTTTGGGTTGTGAGGAAATTTCCGTGATACAGGACTTCATTACGTATCTGTACGTTTTATTCATAGTCTCATCGAACTGCCGTAAAATTATTTCGCGTTTGGTTTATGGATTCATTTATTGTTGCAAAGTCAGGATATGCGTCGGTTAATTTGCTCTTCCCTTGAATGTGTATGGAAAGCATCAACAAACCAGTCATCATTAATGAAACTAGAGGCTCTCAAGAGCCTGTGTCGCTCACCTGTATTTACTGATGCTTTGGAAATCATGTAAAATAAGGTTAAAATCATAATTAATAGTATTAGATATTAGATATTATAATGATATCTAAGATAATAACAACTAGAGGCTCTAAAGAGCCTGTGTCGCTCACCTTGGTCTATGTGCATATTAAACAAAGGACACAGATGGATTCATGACAAAATTGTGTTTTGGTGATGGTGATGTGTTTGTAGATCTTACTTTATTGAACATTCTTGCTGTTTACAATTATCTCTATCTATAAAGAACTTGGCCCAGTAGTTACAGTGGAAAATATTTTGTAAAAATTTACAAAAATTTACACAATTTATGAAAATTGTAAAAAATTGACTATAAAGGGCAATAACTCCTTAAGGGGTCAATTGACAATTTTGATCATGTTGACTTATTTGTAGATCTTACTTTGCTGTACATTATTGCTGTTTACAGTTTATCTCTATCTATAATAATATTCAAGATAATAACCAAAAGCTGCAAAATTTTCTTAAAATTACCAATTCAGGGGCAGCAACCCAACAACGTGTTGCCTGATTGGTCTGAAATTTCAGGGCAGATAGCTCTTGACCTAATGAACAATTTGATCCAGTCAGATTTGCTCTAAATGCTTTGGGTTCAGAGATATGAGCCAAAAACTGCATTTTACCCTATGTACTATTTTTTAGCCATGTCGGCCATCTAGGTTCACGGGCCGGGTCATCGGACACATTTTTAAAACTAGATACCCTAATGATGATTGTGGACAAGTTTGGTTAAATTTGTGTTAGTAGTTTCAGAGGAGAAGATTTTTGTAAAAGATTACAAAAATTTACGAAAAATGGTTAAAAATTGACTATAAAGGGCAATAACTCCTTAAGGGGTCAACTGGTCATTTTGGTCAATTTGACTTATTTGTAGATCTTACTTTGCTGAACATTATTGCCGTTTACAGTTTATCTCTATCTATAATAATATTCAAGATAATAACAAAAAAACAGCAAAATTTCCTTAAAATTATCAATTCAGGGGCAGCAACCCAACAACAAGTTGTTCGATTCATCTGAAAATTTAAGGGCAGATAGATCTTGACCGGATAAACAATTTTACTCAAATGTCAGATTTGCTCTTAATGCTGTGGTTTCAGAGATATAAGCCAAAATCTACATTTTACCCCTATGTTCTATTTTTAGCCATGGCGGCCATCTTGGTTGGTTAGCCGGGTCACCGGACACATTTTTTAAACTAGATACCCTAATGATGATTGTGGACAAGTTTGGTTAAATTTAGAGTAGTTTCAGAGGAGAAGATGTTTGTAAAAGTTAACGGACGACGACGACGGACGACGGACGACGGACACCAAGTGATGAGAAGAGCTCACTTGGCCCTTTGGGACAGGTGAGCTAAAAACCATTTGGTAACATTTTAAGCTGTTAAAGAAAGTTTGACTGACCTTAGCAATAACATTTACTGTCGAGACAAATATAATGTTATATTTACTGTACAAGTTTAAGATAGAACTGTATAGCAATATTGAAGAGAACTCAGATATGTCTGAGATTTTCTTTACTAATCAAGATTGGTGTGTCAGCTTGGGGGAAAGGGTCAAAGCAATAGTTATAGATAGGACGGTTTTTTGTCAACAATCGGCACAAAACACAGTATATACATATATACCTATCCGAAAGTATGTTAAGGTATGTCTCAACGTTCGTTATACTTTCATTCAGAAAGATCTCTTCTGTTGAAGACGCATCATTTCTAAAAAAAACAATTAGTGTGTTAATAATGAAAACAGAATCAAAACAAGTTTGTTGGTATAATGTATAAATAAAACAGATGAGTATGGTATAAATGTTAATAAGGTGTCATTTGGAAAATTAGTTACATGTTTACATCAATTTTTAAACAAATCATTCAAATAAATGACTGTCGTTAGTTGTCGGAAACAGTTATGTATAGAAGAAAAATTTAAAAACCTAATTACATCTTATGGGGATTTCAAATCAAAACAAACTATCCCATGCGTAACTCAACGAACAAACTTCCGGACTGGTAATTGGATTTTTAATACGGTTGACAGTGTTGGACGAATCTCACTTGAGAAAAGGATACAGGAGATATATTTACGTCTGCCTCATATTTTGACTAATACGTAACAATTGACAATAAGGGTCTATAAGAATAAAACTTCACAACAAAAGAGATTATTTCATCGTTCAAAGTGTGAACTTATCCTTTCTACGAAGCAACAATCCCGGCAGCGCAAAGATATGGATAACTATTCGCCCAATTTATAGGATACTCCAGATCTTATGTGTTCTAAAACGATTTCCTTAGTAGAGGGTTGATGCTTACAAGAACGCTATTCAATGAATGGGTACCAGGTTATAAAGTTGAAATCGTCCCTTCGAAAGTTTTAGGGACACCATTATGAGTTGTAAGATCGTTATGGAATATCTGTGTTACAGTTGCAAGTAGATCACGGATATGTTCAAATTGTCGTAGCCACAATTCTGTCCTGTTTTCCTCGATTTTCCCACCACTCAATAAGTATTTGTATTTTCCATGAGTAACAACACATGTTCCTAATGTGCAGCGGGATCTACTTGCCCATCCAGATCACATGAGACCACCACAGGTTTTGTGGTTCTTGATACTCAGTCTTTAGGGGTTTTTATTTAGTGTTTTGAACTTTGTAATAAACTTTCAATTTTTTTTGTAGCAACATTCCAGCAGAGCCTGCATGTGGAGTATAAATTCCCCAGTTTAGACGATAGTTCAAAGCTATCATTTCTTATCATGACTCCCCTGATAGAGGGTTGGTACTTACAACGAAGCTTTTTAACCAAGAGTTCCAATTGGTGAAGTTGAAGTGATCCCTTCGAAAGTGTTCAGGACGCCATCACGAGTTGGTTAACCGTTATAAAATATCTGTTTCACAGAAGACGACGAATATATTCTAATTGTCGTAAACACAACCCCCACTTCTTTTGCTATATTGTGACCTACCGAATCGGACTTGTCGCCGGGTTCGTGTTTACATGTGGAGCAGCATCCGCTTATCGTTCGGGAGCACCTCAGATTTTTTATGGGATTTGTGTTGCTCAATTTTTAGGTTTTTTTTTTTTGTGTTTTGTAGAATATAGTTTGTATTTTTTTCGTGCCATTTCGATTTGTTTTTCTAGTATCCCTTTGGTATCTTCCGCCTCTCTTTTAAAGACGACTGTTGTCTTTTCGCAGTTTTTCGCCAAGGTGTTGTCGGTTTCTCCTCTTCTTATAACTTTTGATTGTTCTTGGTATCTTCCACTTCTTCTTGAATAATAATGCCAAGATTATTGGAAGCATGAATTTAAATTCTGGGCATTAAAATTTTCGTAAATATCAAGGAATATTCTGGTGAGGGAACATTATATGACTTAAGTTTTTTTAATCATGTGGACACATTTGATCCACATGTAAACACTAACCCGGCGACAAGTTCAATTCGGTAGGTCACATTCTAGGAAAAGAGGACCGGATTGTGGTTAACGACAATTAGAATATATCCGTCGTTATGTCACTAACGAATTACGTATATACATTGTATGTGCACGTATGCAAGCCTACTAGGTATTTCATTTATAACTTAATCTGTTTGCCTATGGTTTTGACAATGAAATCAATTGTGTAACAAAGGCATATCATTTGAAGCCCAACTATCAAAATTTAATGGAGAAATAATAATATGAATTAGGACGCAACAGTTGCAAAACTACTGTGAATCCTGAGATAAGCCTAAACTTTTATCAAATGTAATTCTCATTAGTAAGTTACTTCGTGGTTAAAATATTTACACTTAATTTACCAGTTTTTCTTGAATCGAGATAAGAAGTTACATCTCATTTAAAAACTAATCAAATTTCTAGAATTATCCGTTAAATTTTGATGTTTTAAAAAAAACTAATGTTTCAACTCCCTCAGGCAAAGTGGACCGTAGATGGATTTGGCTATTGTCAATGCCCTGTTTTTTTGGTAATATAGCTCTTCAACTGTTTCGGTTCTTATACATTCTTGGCTTTCAAATATTCGGCTTTGAGCGTTCCTAATGAAGTTAAATCCAGAAAAGCGCCTCAGACGCATGAAATTTATAACGTGTTGTTTTTATTTTTGACATGTAATGAGATGACATTCAGGAAATGGTGAGTATAATATCGGTTAGGCTCTGCATCTCAACTGGACAAAATGATATCCGGTCAACACCTTTACAATGTTATTTAATTACTGTGACAGATTTTGGTCGTTTCATGATACTAGTTTTTAAAATGAAAAATTGCATTATAAATTGTTCTATAAATTAAATGCACCTACTTTTTAAGGACACTCTCCCTCATTTCTGTCAATTTTTGAATCAACTGGTCTGTTTGTGCTCTATTCAAAGTGTCCATTGCTAGAAATAAATAAAAGGAGTTTTTAGGTGGATGGCAGTTGATAGATAAGTTTCTCATTCGAAATCGTAAAAAATCCATTTTCAAGAAAAACATCATACACCATTGTATTCTTTATAAAAATAAGGAAACTATTGAAGACACCTCTCTCACAATTCTGTTACTTATTCGTGATATTCCATGACACGAATTTGTATCTTTCATTTACGTACTAATTCCTTGTAACACAAACGGATGCTTTATTTCTAGCAACCCGCCAATTTCCACAGCTTACTTCCACTTTGAACAAGAAGTGGGGTTAAAGAGATTGACGTTTTTCGTTTAGGCTACAGGGTATTCGTCCGTGAATGAAAGTTATATATTCATTGAGTAAAAGGGAAATATCTAGAATGCTATGAACTTATCTAGAAATGTTATGAACAAATCTGCAAATGTTGTGTATGAATTTAGAGATGTTATGAGCTAGATTTTATGTTAATGACTGTTTTTACGAATACATAATATTTTTTTTTTAATAATTTGAATTGGTTTTACTAAGTCATACTAAGGGAGATAATTCAGATGATTAAATTTTATTGCACATTTGCCTCTTTTGTTTTGTACCAAGACGAGAAGTACTGTGACCCAAATTATTATTTTTACATTTGGGGTACATTTTAAGAGCTATTTTCTCATATTTTCTTTTTAAACTCTACACGTTTGTTTCGTTTCTATTATTTCATAAGTTAAAAAAAAACTGTCTTTTTATGTGTTATCTATCAATTCTGACAAAATCTAAAAATATTGCACGACTATCTGTAGTTTAAAAAAGTCCGTGACCCATACTTTTTATTTTTATTTCTATAAAGGTATCCTATAAACTACATTTGGCAAAGTATTTTGAATTAGACTACCTTAAATCAAATTTGGATACGATTTATTGGCAGAATTAATTCGACGACACAATATATCTATTCATTTCTAATTAGAACTAGTCATGGCATTTGGTCTCTTGTGGAGAGTTGTCTCGTTGGCAATCATATATTTTATATGGTAGTTAACTTCCTTGACAATAAAATCGGTCTGTGACCTTGACACATATCGTTTGACAATTGAATGTGCGTTTAAATATTACATGGCGATACAAAAGCAAACAAAATAAAATATCTAATTTAACTGGTAATGACCAGCTGATATAAAGTTTTGTATTAAAGGCTATTGTACATTAATATGTAATTGTTTTATGTAATTATTGTCATATTATGGTAGGATAAGAATCTTAACGTTGTTGTGTTACATAATAGGATAAGAATCTTAACTTATTTTATGAAGACGTAATTGTTCTTGTTGTTGTGTTACGAAAATAATTTATTAAAGTACTTTACAATGTGTATGCAATAACTGGAAGTTATTCAAACTTTATATCAAGTATGTATAATAAGATTCTTGATCAGAGTTCTGTTACTCAAAGTGATAAAAATGAAGACCCAAATGCAGTTATCAATAACTGTGCTTAAGTAAAAAGCAAATCCATATATAAGTAGCCTTTAAATTTTGTAAACCAACTTATGTTCATGGATACTTTATTTCGCGTTTAGCCCTTTATGGACCACTTCGCGGCGATTTATTTTCGTGATTATCAAATTTATTTGATGTATTTTAATCAGGCAAGTTCCAGGTTTTTCATATTCTCGACGATTTATATTCGCATTATTTTTCTACTTGCGAAAGTCGCGAAATTAAATCGCTAACGAAAATTAGTTGGTTTACAGTACTTAATGGATGAACATGTTAATTTCTGAGTTTGATCTTAATTTCCACATGTGGAGCAGGATCTGCTTACCCTTCCGGAGCACCTTAGATCACCCTCAGTTTCTGATGGGGTTCGTGATGCTCAGTCTATAGTTTTCTATGTTGTCTTTTGTGTACTATTATTTGTCTGTTTGTCTTTTTATTTTTAGCCATGGCGTTGTCAGTTTATTTTCGACTTATGAGTTTGAATGTCCCTCTGGTATCTTTCGCCTCTCTTCTCTCCTTTTGAAATTCAAATGATTCCCTCGGTTTTTGTTTGTTACCTTGATTTGAATCTTCTGGATCTATTGAGATTTTTAGGATGTTCGCTACTCTGTTTCAAAATAACAAGCTTTTTAAAAGACTGTTATAAATTGATAGTATATAAATGAAGGAACTAAAGAAGCAGAAAAAAATGAAGGGTCCGTGTGCTTGTTTTCGTTTCGAGATATAAGCCATTGAAAATTTGGCGGGAAATGATTCTCTCTAGATTTTTCATACATTTATCATTGGCACCTTTTTCTTTCAAAAACAGTGAAAAAATAACAAGGATTTTATAAGATTTTCAAATATGACTCTTTAAACTATATGTAGTAAAATTATGAAAAGAAAAGTAGGGATTAGCGAGCAGAATATTTATGAGCACTACATGGATAAAACCAGAGGATTCCGAATATCTGACAAAAATTCAAAAACAAGAGGAGCGAACATTCTAAACATCGGTGAGCTACTATTGTCTACATTTAAACGTTATGCCAACGAACCATCGAAAACAAGCCAGTGGTATACCTAATGTTTATAGTTACAAATAGAGCGTTCAGTTTTTCTTATAAGATATATTTCAGTTATTTATGAGAGATAACATTATCTTTAAAATATCATACTTGTTATCAATTATTTTTATCATGCTAAGTTAAATTTCTAATGTAATAAGGATTGTCGTTTTCGTCAAAAGCGTAGAATCCTTACCTAATCTTTAGATCTGCTGCTTAACTAAAAACGTTAGCATGTGGTTTTAATCCGCCTGGCTTTAATTTCGAACAGTGAGTCAGAATCCGTGGGTTTTCCCACCTATCCAACTTTACAAAAACAGTATGTTGAAAACCTCCTGGCTTTTACTATGCTTTGCATTAAAATTCTTTTATTCTTTTATATATTTTTGATACAGTTTAAAAAACATTAAATTCTCTCCACAGATTTCTTATGGAAATTCCAGAGAAATCTTTTCCCCCTAAAAATTCATGTTTTTTTTTCAATTACTTGTTCCCAAACATAAAACACATACCCCTATCTTTATTATATATATTTTCTTTATCCTAGAATTGTTTTGGTGAGATAGAAATATCTCGATGTTGAAAAACTGAAATAGCTATCAGAAATACTGGTCACTGGTAAGTATAGTAGAAATTCACTTTCATCCACTTCTTATTCCTTATATAAGTTATGGTGCCACATGTTGAGCAGGATCTGCTTACCCTTCCGGGGCACCTGAGATCACCCCAAGTTTTTGGTGGGGTTCGTGTTGCTTAGTCTTTAGTTTTCTATGTTGTGTCATCTGTACTATTATTTGTCTGTTTGTCTTTTTATTTTTGGCCATGGCGTTGTCAGTTTGTTTTCGATCTATGAGTTTGACTGTCCCTCTGGTATCTTTCGTCCCTCTTTTATAAGTGACTTAAAACTAAGGAGATGACATATGAATGCCAATGACACAACTATCCACCAGAGACCAAACGACGTAGAGTGTTGCAACTGTATGTCACAGTACGGTCTCAACAATCAGAAAAACCCATACCTGTAGTAAGCTTTATAAGGCACGATGTAAAACAATGCAAATAAAAAAAACAACAACAAAAAACAACAAGATTTATTATGTACAAAACAATTAACGACAAACAAATATGAAAGACAGCAACCAACGACAACCACTGAATCACATAATATGACGGGTTAAAACATGTTTTTGGGCGCTAAACTCTCATTCTAACTTAGGGAAGTGGTGTAATAGCACAACATAAGAAAACTGCAAAAATCAGTTGAAAAGGTAAATCATACTCCCCAGACTAAAACTCTACCGAACAAAATCAGCTTTACTCTTATTCCTTGAAATACAAAAATAGCTGCAAAAAGATTTGTTGATTTCTTTTAACTTATTATTTCTTAACTTTAATAGCATGATCTCGCTTTAGAAACAGTTCGTATTTTCAGTTTATATTTCACATTTCATCATTCATAAGTATTAGATTATACAAAAAATACAATAGATGAAACCGCATAAAAGAAAATAAATATTACAAAAAATATTAAGTTACATTAAACCAAAATTACCTGTGTTCTGTGATGCTGAATCTTCGATAATATCGGGCTTTCTGTTCAAAAATGGACTGTACACCTTGTTGAATTCAATGTAACTAATTAATTATGTTGTTTGTATCATTTAATTATATAGTAATGAGATAAATCAATCATAAGATTCTAGGAATTACTAGGCTATTTACAGATGTGTATATCGGCGAGCAGCCTATCCGTTTAAACAAACAATACCTGTAGTATAATATATTAAATTAATCAATATTAACCTCTTGTGGGGAAAAGGAAGAGAAAAGGTCAGATTTAAAGACAAAAATAGTGCATTAATTGAAAATTAGTATTATATCATTCAATATTCAGAAGTATAAACAACTGTCATACAAGTGGGAGGTTTAGCTAGCTAAAAAAACAGGTTCAACCCACCATTTTCTTCGGAAAATGACTGTATCAATTCATGAATATGACACTTGTTTGTCACTCGTTTCGTTGGTTGATTAAGTTTGATTTTGTCAGATTTCATGGATTTCCCCCGTTTTAAATTTCCCTGGAGTTTTCGCTACCATTAAATTCTGTTGAGGAACTAATGGTTCTACACCTGATCAAAATGTATATCAGTTATTGATATATGAGTATATGATTTGAAAAAAGGCTAAATGAAAAAGTAAAACATTTTGAGGATTCCTGATATGCCTTTTCATGTTTGAGGAATAAAGTTCGCGTATTCGTTTTCATGTTTTACGGTTTTAGTCTATTATACAAATTGTCCATTTTTTATTTCCTGACATTAACTTGACCATTCAAAATCGCATCCGCGTAAAACAGCAAGTAATAGAGATTCAGGGTAAACGTTAGGTGTACATTTACATAAGCCCAACATACGGAAATAATCGTATACAGACAAATGTAAAAAGAAATTTAAACTCGCTTACTAAAAGCAATTTCAAAGCAGATTCCAATTAATAAATAAATCATACTCCCCAGACTAAAACTCTACCGAACAGTTTTAATATAAAATCAGCTTCAATATAAAAATGGTAGCATACGCTATTGCTTTGGGATACCATTCGGCATATTTTGTTAATAGTGAACAAAAAGGTAAAATATGCTGCACCGAGGAACAAGTGATATAAGTATGCTGGAGTTTCTTATTGACAAAATGTTTGTTGAATTTCACATTCAGATATATTGATGATTTTCTTTCCATTAACAATCCAAACTTTTCTGATTGGGTTTCATTAATATATCTTCTAGAACTAGAAATTAAAAAGCAACAGACACGGCTTCCTCCGCCACAGTTTTAGACTTATACCTCGAATTTGACATAAGCGGTCATCTCATTATCAGAATCTATGACAAACGAGACGATTTTAATTTTGAAATTATCAATTTCGAACCAAACTTGGCAGCAATATACCAACTTCACCTACATATGGCATATACATTTCCCCAACTCATTCCGTATTCAAGAGTTTGCACCTGCTAATCAGACTTTGTAAAACGTCACCAGTGTCTGTGCAGAAAGTTGATGAACCAGGGTTATGTCAACGAACGTCTCGTCCTTTTTCTAAAAAAAGTTCATTGGAAGATACCAAGACATTGTTGATAAATATTCCGTATCAACTTCACGAATAATACACGATGGTCTTGAAGTATAAATTCTAGGTACTTACGTTGTTTATCATGTTAGTTACGTGATATGGTGTTCTCTTATTTGTCTTTGTATATTATGAACCTTTACTGTTAAGTCAATTTTCGGTAATATCCTTTTGGCGTGACTCGATATTTATACATCCCGCCATTGTGTTATTGTGCTATGGTCATTTTTTGTATTCTTGTCTTTCTATTTTGCTTTTGTACTTCATCTATAGAGTGTCTATATGCCATTTTGTATTTCTTATTTGATATAGTTGTTTGTTTTATAATGATTAAGGTTGAGAACACAATGTTGACTGCTGTACCCCAATTTTTAACATGTATTCCTATTATGTCTGTTTGTTTTGTTCACACATTGTTGTCAATGTAATGGAATTTTATACCACTTTCATACATGTGAGATGTTTAGCTAGCTATAAAACCAGGTTTAATCCACCATTTTCCACAAAAGGAAATGCTGTACCAAGTCAGGAATATGACAGTTGTTTTCCATTCATTTGATGTGTTTGGCCTTTGATTTTGCCATTTGATAAGGGATTTTTCGTTTTGAATTTTCCATGGGGTTCGGTATTTTTGTTGATTTACTTTTTGTTACATTCTACATCACATAGTTTAAATCAAACGTTAATTGGGAACCTCATTTGGAGAGTGGTCTAAGAAGTTCGTTTTTAGTGATGACTAGCCTGACAATACGGATGTTGTGAGTTCGAAACCTTTTCGTAGTTATGTGTGTTCGGCTCCGATCATAATTGAAAAGGATTGAGCTTTCAGGATTTCTAGAAGATCTTCTCCAAAATACCATCAATTACAATCTTTTCAATATTGAAGTGATATCAAAACCTTAGATTTTTCTACGCTTTAAGCTACTATTCCCCATGTTCAATTGAAAGAACACAGTTTTTCCTCCGACAATAGAAAACGTAGATGCAAATTCCTTGTTTTATGTCATGGAAAATCTTACTTTGTGAAGAATCACACTGATTCCCACAACAAATACACCAAAGATGATATTTTGAAACTGCTTAAAGTTTCGATCTACAACAAGTTTGTTGAGTTGCATGGATTAGGGATACTACCAAAAACAGAAGTTCTGCTTCATATCTTGATCTTATTCTCGATATAGATACTTCAAACTAGAATCTATGACAAACGTGATGATTTCAACTTTCCTATTGTCAACTTCCATTTCTCAGTAACATATCCACTGCTACATCGTATGGCGTTTAATATTTCAGTTAACATGTTACGCTCGTGCATGTTCACACTATAAGGAGTTTATTAACAGTGGTGTGCTCTTTGCACAAAAACTGCTCCAACAGAGTTACTTGAAAAACGACTGAAACCAACACTACATAAATATATATGAGGTTATCCTACTGGTTGTATCTTTCAGCAGGGACATGCACGGGGTTATCTTTTTGATTCAATATCTTAGGTTATCTGAGCAGTAGGGACCGTCTATCTGGTTAAACATCTCAGCGGGGATATGTATGAGATCAACTGTCTGGTTTAATATCTCAACAGAGATATGTATGATATCATCTATCTGGATGAATATCTAAGCTGGAATATGTATGAGATTAACTATCTCGGGTTGCAGGGATACTAGTATGTATGAGATTATGTATCTGGTTTAATATCTCACCAAGGATATGTATGAGATCATATATCTGGTTTAATATCTCAGCAGGGATATGTATGAGATCATATATGTTGTTTATTATCTCAGCAGGGATATGTATGAGTTCATCTTTCTTTGAATATCTCAACAAGGATATGTATGAGAGCATATATGTTATTTAATATCTCAACAGGGATATGTATGAAATCATATATCTGGTTTAATATCTCAGCAGGAATACTAGTGTGTATGAGATCATATATTTGGTTTAATATCTCACCAGGGATATGAATGAGTTCATCTTTCTTTGAATATCTCAACAGGGATATGTATGAGATCATATATCTGGTTTAATATCTCAGCAGGGATATGTATATATGAGATCATATATGTTATTTAATATCTCAACAGGGATATGTATGAATTCATATATCTGGTTTAATATCTCAGCAGTAATACTAGTGTGTATGAGATCATATATTTGGTTTAATATATCAACAGTGATATGTATGAAATCATATATCTGGTTTAATATCTCAACATGGATATGTATGAGATCATACATCTGGTTTAATATCTCACCAGGGATATGCATGCGATCAGTTATCTGGTTTAATATCTCACCAGGGATATGTATGAGATCATATATCTGGTTTAACATCTTACCAGGGATATGTATGAGATCATATATTTTGTTTTAAATCTAAGCAGGACTAATAGTATGTATGGGATCAAATATCTGGTTTAATATCTCACCAGGGATATGTATGAGATCGTCTATCTGGTTGAATAACTCAGCTGGGATATGTATGAGTTCATCTTTCTTTGAATATCTCAATCGGGATATGTATGAGAATATCTGTTTGGTTGTATCATTTCCTTTCTACCACTTGGATTACAACATTTAAGGCAATTCCCGTTATTTTCAGTCTGATAATGATTTTTTTAACATTTGAATTAAACATTTAAGCGAAACAAATGACATAATTGCAACAGAAAAGTCCCATAAAAGATTTAACTAGAACATGCAAAGAAAATGTAAGATCTCCCCTGTTAAACTCTTTTTGTTGTTATTTTTTTTTGCTCTCAAACAATATGTACTTTTTGCTCCCCAAATTTTCTCACAAACATTCGTTATGAGCACGGGTAGGATTTTTTTAAATAGCTACAGATAGTTACGTCAATGTGGCCTATTCAGTTCCCTACTAATACTAATTAGTAAAGCTTATATTAATACTTTTTTCGTATAATGATATAATAGTTATACAAGTCAGCAAATCACGTCTACTACAATAAAGATGGAAGAGATAAAGAAAAATATAAATGGCAGACTAGTTTTGTTATGTCTTCTTAATTTAGGGATGTCAACTCGGTGAACAATTATTAATCGAGTACTCGTTGGTTTTATCGAGCGATACTCGAGTACTCGCTCGGGAATATATCTACAACACGGAAACACAAAAATACAAAGAATAAGATCAAGATATGAAGCAGAACTTTATATTCTTTGGTTTGTTGTTCTACGGACGAAAAACCATAGACATAAGTATCTGGGACAAGGAATTACACACCATAATTATTAGCTCATTACCTACAAGTACTAATTAAGTACAAAAACAATAATCTAATCAATATAATTAAATGAACACCTGTTTAAAATTATAACAAGGAAAAGCCATATCAAACAATAGTATTTGATAATCGTTAAGAAAACACATTTAAGTATATGTTAGAATATAGCAAAGTGCTCTCGACCAATGAAATTGTAGGATTTGATGCCTCTTAATTGTGAAGAGTGAATGTAAATCATGTTCTTAGTAAGGGATTATCCTATTATTTTGATCTATTTACAGTTCAAAACAAAGAGTTTCTATAAATGAGTTACAACTGCCCCGAAGCACTTTTATCAGATTGGAATGATTTATAGGTTACTTATATGTAATATAAG